GGCGGCTGATTGTTTCTCTCTCATCGATGTTTCTAACTCTCTATCTCTCTCCCTTCCTCTCTGTAAAAAATCAATAAAATATATTTAAAAAAAAGTCTAAGTGAAGCAGAGCACAAGGACTGGGGGGAGGAAAATAAAAGGGACAATAACCGATGTCAGGGTAAATATGACTCCCAGGCAGGGACTATCCTTGCTATCACAGAAATTCCTATAAAGTAGAGATATTTAATCAGAAACTGGCTAAAAAGCCTATTTCTGATGCACTAATACAGTAAGAAATTTTACTTTTAATAACTTGCTTTCTTAATATTCTTTTCTTCAGTTTATTATGAATTTATGGCATTGACCTAAGGGTATATAAACACTTATGTACAGTTTAAGGGATGGAAACATCATAAAATCACTACCCATAACTTGGAAGCCCCCGACCCTGTCAGCCTTCCTTTCCCCAAGAGATAATCATTACCTTGATTTTAGTGTTAATCATTGGCCTATTTCCCTCTATTGTTTCATCACCTATCCTTAAACGCTATGGGTTATTTGGTCTGTTTTTGTACTTTAGATAAAGAAAATACAACACAGTATGTATACTTTTGCATCTGAGTCCTTTCACTAAATATTATGCCCATGTTAATTTTTTTCATTTTTCTCTATTCGCAATTCCATATATGAATATACCACAATTTTTATATCCATTCTACTATTGATGAACATTTGGCTTGTTTTCATTTAGGAATCCCAGTCCATGTGTCCTTATATACATATGCAGGGGCTTCTCAAGGGCATATATTTAGGAATAGAATTGTTCTATCCAAGTGTATAAACAGTGACAACTTTACCAGGTAAGTCCGGACTTTTCCAATTTACACTCTCTCCACCAGTGGGTGCTTCCTGCTGTTCTGTAGGGTATTACTGATATTGTTAGATTTCTTGGTATTGTTGCCAATCTGGTGGAATCATATTGGTATTTCATTGGGTTTTTAATTGGTATTTCCATCTTTTCATATGTTTATTAGCCACTTGGATTTCGGATTTATTTTATTTTGTTTCTTTCTTTTTTTTTTTAATGCTGGTCAGGACCCACTAAATTGATTTAATGACTCACAGTTGTAAAACAAGTGATCTATGGCATGTTATTCTACCTTTCTGAACCTGTTTCCTTATCTGGAGAAATGGGAATAAGCTCATAAGGTTGTTATCATGGTCAAAGAAGACTTTATATGTAAAGTATATACATGGCTCTGAGCACACAGTTTGCGTTCAACAAATGGTAACTATTATAAATACTGTTTTTAAAAAAGAAAGAAAATTAATAAGTTCTGAGTCAACAGCTACACTGCTTCCGTATAACCCCAAGTATGAACTCCCTATGGTTCTCAAAATAGTGGCACCCCCTCTCGCTGTGCATCACCAGCTACTCATGTTTGTGTGGTTCTTTAGAAACAGTAAAAAGAAAACACTTATGCTTGACTTCTATTTGAAACATTGCCTTTCTATAAAATCATCTAGATATTTAATAGGTAGTGTGAAACTTTTGATAGCATTCTAAATATTATCAATGTTAAAATATTCCTTCTAAACAGCCATCCACATTTTCCCCCTAGCCAAAATAGATATTCTGATGTCTGAAATGCTATTTCTAATTTCTAATTTATTCTTATGGGCTAATTTGCAAAATGAGATTGTCTTGGATGATTGGTTTTCAGTAAACATGGTATACCAAATTGGATTCTAAATTTAGAGAAAGGTTGAGTCTTCTATTATAATTATCAAGAAACAATAGAAGTATTAATGGTAATGAAGCTTCCATGATTAAAAAGTTAAATTCTGAAAATAGCAAGCAGAAATGATTGTTAGCAGGCTGCATTACTATAAATTATAATTCTCGCAAATGGTTATTTTGATCTCTTTTCATGGGATAAGGCAACTCCCAAATTGCAATTTACTAAATGCTAATATATGTACCAAATGTGTCATAATTAAGTTCCATAGTCTTGGAGAATTTAGTACCATTAAAGAAACAAAGATATTGGAAATAGTGCATAAAATTCTAAGAATCATTTTTTTAAAGGCAAGGTTGTTTTAATAGATGCTATGATTTCTATGTTGATCTTTTAAAAAATATTTAGAAAGCAGTAATCATTGTTATCCATATAAATGTATTCAGAGAAAAATTTTGTTTACATTTAATAGGATTTGAAAATGAACTCTAGGTTTTAAATACAGTAGATTCCATGTCCTTTCTTGGCGGTTTTTGAGGATTGATTTTTGGTAATATCTCTTTGGCATAAAAGGTTTTATGAAGTCCAGCTTCTCGAAGTGCTAACTCAAAACGAAGTCTAGGGTCAGAAATTATCTGTAGAAATAAAGTATAATGTAAATAAATAGCAACTCAGTAAATAGAACTACAGTAAATTTTATCATTTAGTACCATATTTCCCTAAGCTGCATAATTTGTTTTTGCTAGATAAGTGACTAAATGACAGTAAATTTTGTGCATACAGTGACTATATCATAGTTATTTTTAGTGAAAACATCCAAACCTTTTTGGCATTGCCACTTTCCAGTGAGTGAATCAGCGTTTCCAACATAAGGTGTATAGACTGTTGCATAGTAGATTAGTCAAAATACAAAACATTAGAATTATTAAAAGATGAGATGAAAAAAGCTTACTTTCAATAATATCATTGATTCATTATTTACTGATGGCTGGAATATGCAAATATAGACAATCACTGATCACAATAAAATAAATCTCAACCACAACCTTCTGCATCTGCCTTTAAACAGACATTTTAATTTCTCCATCACTTGGCAACATGTAAATTAAGTTTAAGCACAGGGCCACTACCTGAAAAACAAAAATCAATAGAACCTTCTTCCCAAGCCAGATTTCTATTTCAAGCAGAACTAGAAAATGCTTCCATCTATCTGATTCTAAGTGGGACTAGACATACGAGTAGTTCGATTTCTGTTTTCACTTATAGCTTATTGGACTTTACTCCTCCTTCTGTGAATATTAAATGTCAATGGTGCAGTTTGCAATGATAAGAAGGTAGCCACACATGGATTTCAGCTAAGGAAGCATTTTACATGGATTTAAAGTCCCCCTAGAGCAGGGGTGGGGAACCTTTTTTCTGCCGAGGGCCATTTGGATATTTATAACATCATTTGAGGGCCATACAAGATTACCAGCTTAAAAATTAACCTGCTATATTTGGTCAAACATTTCATTAGTTCACCCCGAATGCCTGGGCATTCACCCCTGCACTAGAAGATTGGATAATAAGCTGTTGAAAGCAGCCTCTCCTTCAAGGAGCTCTTTCATAGGGGTAATAAGATTATACCCAGATAACTACAGTTTGTGGCAACATGTGACAGATACCGCTGTCTCTCGGTGCCGGTGAGACTAGCATGGTCTCCGGTAAGGAGGAGCACCCGAGCTAAAGTCCAACTTACTCTTCTCTAAAGCAGATGGGGGAGAAAGAAGAATTGAGCATGAAAGGAAGGAACATGCAAACTTAGAGGTCAAATCGGTCCATTTGGAATCACCTTTGGGGAACACTGGGGAAGGACACCGCTAAGCCTGGGGCTTGAATGTGAAAGGCTTTCGGGCTCTGCCAAGGAGTCTGGAGAGCTACTGAGGTTGCATTTGTTTGTTTGGGGCGTGGAATTAATATAATCACTGTCATTGTATAAAAAGATGGGTCTCATTGTAAGTTCAGGATAAATTAAGGAGGCAAGGAAAGAAGAGATGGAAGTAGAGAGAGTGGTTAGGGGGCTACTACAATAGGCTAGACATGACTAATAATAAATATGCCTAAACTTGGCTGGTAGCAAGGAAGAGATAACTGTCAGAAACACTGAAGGGAAGAATTAATAGAACTTGGCAACTGGTCAGATATAGGGACTAGGGGCAGCGATGCATTCAGTCAAGAATAATACAGAGATTTATGTCTGACATAAATAATACAGAGATTTATGTCTCCTCCTCTGCTCCAGTCCAGGCTCCCTGGTCCCTCTCATGTACTTCCGGTGGTTCATGCTCCACCTGCATGTGTTCTCCCCTAGTCATCCCCGGCGTGCACCAACTCCTCAGCTCTGGAGGTGTGAGCTTTAAACTGCTTTCATTATCTACTTTTTGAATAAACGAAGTGAAATGGAGATCTCCCTTGGATACTGACCACGATTGTCCCAATTCCCCAACCCAGAGGCAGCTAATCGGTTTCTTGTAAATGTGTACTAGACATTTTCACCCAACACATGACATAAACAAAAGTTCTCTCTCCCCAAGTCTGTTTCTCCTTCTATATTCTTACATGGTTGATGATAGCAACACTGAATACTTATCATTTACTGTATTACTACTGGGTGCCAGGCAATATCTTAGGGCCTTAATCCTCACAAGAACCCTGCAAATTATTGTTTTACAGATGAAGGAAACAAGACAGGAAGATGTTAAATAGTGTACACAATTTCACACAGCTAGTAAATAGTGGAACAAACTGTCCGGTTTAGAATTATTCTCACTTTCATCATCTCTCCTTGCTTCCTCTTTCTCCTCCCTCCTCCCTCCTCCTCTCAGCCAGAGCCATTCCTGCCCCTCCCCCACTTATGTGAGGGTGCCATTTGACTCCACATGACCTCCACCCCTCACCCCACACCCCCCAGCCTCACCAATTTTCCATTCAGGACATGTTGTTAAAACATAAATTCGGTTCTGTAATTCAGCTGCTGCAAAGTCTCGCCTTTGCTCAGGATAAAGGTGAAATACAAGCAAGACCCACTATAGGACTTTTCACAGTCTGAGCCTAACCTATGTTCCGAGTCTCATCTCCCAGCACCCACCCTTGCCCAGTACTTTCCATTGAAGACACACCAGGAAGGGCCTCTTTCCCCCTCTTCTGGCTGGCGAAACTCACCTCTTCAGCCCAGGCAGCGGAGAGCTTTCCAGCCTCTGACTTCAATTCTTTGCAAGCCCCCGCTGCCCTCCCCACTGTAGCTTGTGAAGAGTCCCTTGAATCTTTAAGGTTTATCCCTCGCCCTACACCCACTTCCTCCCATTAATCTATTTTTTTGTTTGTTTTTAGCTTAAATCATCTGGAATGAATCTTGTTTCTGCTGTTATGTCTTCAACTAAGATACAGCTTAAGTTTTCTCTTTGACACTTTCTCTGATTTCCCCAGCCATTCCCTTCCCCTGGTGGCTGCAGCCCTTAGACCTCTATTATGGAGGTGTCCTCCCCTTATTATTCCCATGCATGTTACTGTCCTCCCAGCCCAGCTCCCCAGCTCCCCACTTCCACACAGGACATGTTTGCGCTGTTCAGGACAGCACCTGGCACAGTGCCAGGTATAGTATCTGTTCCATCAATAGGTGTCCAATTAATAAATTAATTGTGCATTTTTTAATCCCTAGCAAAGTATGCAGCACATACTACAGGCACATTTGATTTATTTGTCAGTGGGTGAATGGATGAAGTTTCCTGCCTTTTATATAATTAAATAAGCATTTAGCAGGTCTCCCTAGATTTGCAAAATTAACTACTTTCTCCTTTAATTTCAAGGATACACATTCATTCATCTGTCCTCCCTTCCTAGAAATGGTTAAATTAGCCCTTAAGCCCTGGCTGGTGTGGCTCAGTGGATGGAGTGTTGGCCTGTGGACCAGAGGGTCCCAGGTTCGATTCCGTTCAAGGGCACATGCCTGGGTTGTGGGCTCAATCCCCAGTAGGGGGCGTGCGGGAGGCAGCCAATCGATGATTCTCTCTCATCCTTGATGTTTCTCTTTCTCTCTCCCTCTCCCTTCCTCTCTGAAAGCAATAAAAATATATTAAAAAAAATAAAAATAAATTAGCCCTTAATACTTATTTTCACAGAAAATGTTGTATCATTAGCTATGATGAATTATCTTCTGCTCATTTTAACTTCTGAAAACGTCTCTCTGTTTTGTTTAATCAAGTATCATCAGTTTTTTCTTCAAAAGGATTATGGTATGAATTTAAACAAATTCTGAATATGATAGAGCAATATTCACCAACAAAATACAGTACTAACACAACTTTAAAGTATGATTTTGTAAAATTATTTTTAAGTTTAAAAAATAATTTTCTAGGGAAGGTAGGGGAGGGTGGGGGTAAAGGGGAGAGATCAACCAAAGGACTTACATGCAAGCATATAGGCCTAATCAATGGACACAGACAACAGGGCTGTGAGGGCATGAGTGGGGGTATGGGGGGTAATGTGGGGATAAGGACACATATGTAATAACTTAATAAAAAAATTGAAAAAAATAAAATAAAAGGTTTAAAAATGAAAAAAAATAATTTTCAATGACAGATTCATAGCATTTCCAGATAAACTGCTTTTTCTATGCTCACCTACCAACTATATTATAATATTAACAGTTGTGCAGTAACTATGTGCTATTATTTAGAAGTAAAAATTGTGTTGATATCTGTAGTATTCAAATATAAATGTTGAAAATTTTTGGAACGCAAAACATACACTTCTACAATTCTTATAAACTTCATAGCTTTTGTTTCAAACATGCTAATTCCCATAATTACCTGCTGTTCATTGTATGTATTCAATGTGAAGAGTGGCTTTTGAAGAATAAATTCTTCCTCAATTCCAATACCCATCCTCGCTTTCGATGCCATTGTATCTGACATCATTCTAACAGGATCAAATTGAGCAACAATAGCAACCTAAAGAAAAGAAAGCATAGCAACTTGGAACAAGATACAGGCTAAATGCTCTGGGCAATATTATTAATGTGTCATGTCCATTACAGTTCAGAAATTTTATTAAAGATAAAACCTAAGAGGGGAGAGTAGAAAGAATATTAAACCAGGCCACTCCAAGAGATCCACAAAGGAGTTAGTAGTTTAAAAACAAATATAATATTAAAAGGCTGTATAATATAATTGTTTCTGATGATTGAAATTATAGTTATTATTACATTTACACAAAAATTTGTCTTTCTTATACAAAGTCACAGGAAATCTTATATAGAAAACCTACATACTCAAACACCTTGAAAGTAACCAAAAGTAAACAAACAAACAAAAAAAACAGTAATCTTTAACCACCAGTGATCTGTGGCCATGGTGACAACCTCATGAAACTTTCTGGAAAATTTGATCTGTTTAAACTGAATCGAGAGCATATTATTCATGGGTAAAGTTGAGTGTGTTGGCATTATAGGGTCAAATGGGTGAATTTCCATTGTACCAGGCAACTAGATTTCCAGGGGCTGTTATAAACCAGTGCTCCCACTTCTGCTGAAAAACTTTAACCCAAGTGCTCTTGTTCTTTATTATAATTGAAATAATTAAAAACTGTGTCCTGATGAAATGAAGTCACTAATTTTGTAAATCATATGCACAATTTGTAACACCTGTCTGTTAACTCCTAGTCAAGAATTGGCATTAAAGCCCTGCCCAGTGTGGCTCAGATGGCTGAGCATCGTTCCATGCACCAAATGGTTGCTAGTTCGATTCCCAGTCAGGGCACATACCTAGGATGCAGGCTCAATCCCAGTAGGCACGTGCAGGAGGCAGCCGATCAATGTTTCCCTTTCACATCCATCTCTCTCTCTCTCTCTCTCTCTCTCTCTCTCTCCCCCCCTCTCCCTTCATCTCGTTCTAAAAGGAGGCATTTAAAACTCTTTAAAAATAAAAAAAATGTTAAGAGAAAAAATCGAATTATCATTAAAAATGGCACTTTATGAACTATAATGACTTAACTGGGAATTGAACATACTTTCATTATTGTAGGTTTCCTGATCAAAATCTTACACTATAGTTCTGAACACGAATTACAGATAATAGGCCCAGATATTTCCTCTTTCCAAGGGTTCACAGATGGAAACAATTCTAATCATATAGATTCTGTAGTTGTCAAAGTTCTATTTTGAACAAGGATGTGTTTAGTAATAGTGACATTAAGTTTTGTCCCCAGAAAGCCATGGGATATACTTATTTGCTAATGACTGAATAATTTAAATTTTGTTGAATCTAACATGACCAGGACATACATTCTTATGCTTTGAATTTCTCTAATCTATTTTATCAAAGAAGATGAGATGCGTTTATAGCTCCTCTATACCACCTCACCTAACTAGACTTCCTTGGTTTGAATTCAGCCTGAACTTTGCTAGCGGTGTAACTCTGGGGAACCTCTGTGTCTCCTTGGTTTTCCCTTCTATAAAACAGGAATATTAATAACACCTACAGCATAGGGTTTTGTAGAGATTAAATGATTTAAATGATTTAAAACCCAAGGGTGTTTATAAGAGGACTTTATACTTAGTAAATATTCAAAACATGTAAACAGACATGACTACCAACCTACAAGGCAGGTACTAATATTATTATTCCCATTTTTCAGAGGGGGAAATAAAGCAACGGGAGTTAGGTAAAAGGCCTAAGTTCCTTCTGCCAGTGAGTAGCACACCAGGTTGTACCAGGTTTGAAGGACACCAGAGGCCAAGTTCCTATCCAAGATTCTATGTTGCCTCCACTGGCACCGAACAGAAACCCGTCATTGCCTATCAGCTGGGAAATGGTGCCAGTGGCGACTTCAGAGCTTTTGAGTTAAGCTAATCACCTCCAGGCTAAAAACTCTGAAAAATTGCCAAATAAAACTATTTTATCACATTTCCCAAGTTCTTAAATTTCTGATCTTGCCATGTACTATCTACTTTCTAAACTTTTGCCTACTTTTATTAGGCAAAGCAATGGGAGGCTTTTATTTCTCCACAAAAAAAAGTGAGGTTATATTTTTTAAGTGCTTTTTAACATGTTTATTTGTTATGGGATATATCCAAACAGAGGTTCCCTCCCCAAAGAAGATTATCTCGTTCAAGCTCTACCGATCTTTTGAGGAGAGCAAAATCTTTGGGCTAGATGCAGAGTTTCACTGCTGTAAATGGATACTATTCAGCTATTAAACTGGAGGTAATGTGGATGCGTTTAAATCTTGGGAGAGCTTTTTAAAAGGTGCTGATAAAGTTCTTTTAATAAACTAAGAAACTGGAAATGGTTCAACATAAACCTAATTGCTCCCCGGAATGAAGATCAGTGTCTCAATTGGGACAAGTTACATTTTATGCAGCAGAACTCCTAAACTAAGGCCGAGGAATAATGCTATTAGGAGCACTTAGCAACGTTTTTTCCCACCACCCATGAACATTTCGAATTAAAAACACCTGTTTCCTAAGGGCCTCCAGCCGCCTCTCTCTTTCTTCTTCTTCATGTGCTTCTTGAAGAGCCACCTCTTTTTTCTCCATCAAACGCTTTTCCAATAATTGTTGTCTGTAGTTAACCCTTTAAAAACAATGCACAGGGAAGTTGGGAAAACATCACCGTAATCTTGGACATTGTGCGGATAAGAGCCGAAGGCCTCTCCAGTTTTGTTTTCAGTTGCTTTTGGTTGATTCCTCATATCCAAACAATAGAAGACATTTGTGGAAAATGCAATTTACTAATAATTCTAAGAATAGCAGGAGAAACTACAGGTCATAGGGCAGGCAAACATGGGATAGAATCCAATCCATCTCTTTACTCGTTGAAATAATTGTATTGACTCGAAAACTGTCTGTTGGCTGCTGCACCTACAGCTCATTTGAGCCTTCTGATGAGTTTTAACAATTTGAGATTTTTAAAAGGCTGTTACAACATGCCCAAATTATCTTCATTCCTAGAACTTAAACCAAACTATTTATATTGCCACTCATTTTGTCAAAATGCTCTTTCTGATTGTGTGTGTGTGTGTGTGTGTGTGTGAAGCAACTTTAAAAATGGCACTTGACTGTAGATGGCAGCAAAACATGACTTTGCCTTCACATTAGGCTTCCATCCTCCTTAACATCAGCAGATATTAGAACAGGGCATAAACAGCTGTTTTAATACCTCCC